CAAGTATAGACAACAAAACGTAAAGCCTTAAAATTTGCATTTTGTCAACTTTATTAAGTTGATGTTTTACAATGTTACAATCCGTCAACCCGTTAATAACCTGTTAACTCGTTAACGATAACAATAATGCTTAACAATCCATTTATCCGTTAATATTAACAACAACAACGATAATAATAATAATATTATAATTATTTTTATACTGAAATGAGGACTTTTTGATCATGTTTATTTAACTAATACTAGTACATTATAAATTCTACTACTATTAAAATAAATTAAAATCACAATCTTACAATATTTTTAAGAAAAAACTTCAATGTAAAGAAAAATTTTTAAACAATACAGTCTAAGCTCTCTATACCGAACCTCTCTATAACGAATATCCTTTTGTCCCCGATTCATTTTTTTATAATTAATTTCTCTCGCTATAACGAACAAAGTTGAAAAATCACACATTGGGAAAGGGGTTCGGTATAAAGAACTTAGACTGTATAGGGAGGGGGAACATGTAAAAGAACACGGATGAAACATGATTTTTTAAAAAAATTATGTTCCCAAAAAGAAATAAATCACAATCCATCTCAAATTAAATAAATAAATATTTTATTATTTTAAATTTCGACAAATAAACGTTTTTGGTTTATTAATATCATATTACTATATAATATTATCCAATAAAATTTGCTATTTTAACGGGTTAACCTGTTACCAATCCGGATGAAAAAAATCCTAACGGATCCTTAATGGGTTCAAATATTCTTAATATTAACGGGTCCATAACGTTAATCCGTTAACAATCCGGGTTAACACTAAACCACGTTTTACCGATCATTCACATGGCCAAATCACAGAACAAGTTTGGATTTATTTTATAGATTTGTAAGCATGAAACTTTCTGCGAGTTGTGATTCACAATTAATATGGCAAGTAGTGTTGGTTGCCGAAACTATTTTTGAAGAAGCGAAAGTCAAAACTAAAATTAAAATTTATATGTCAAACTAAATCAAAAGTCAAAGGTCAAAGGTCAAAACTAGTTTTGACTTATGGCAAAACCTTTTGACTTTCACACAGTTGCGAAACTCTCTAGTTTTGGAAACCAATATTAATGGCAACAACAAATTTATTATAATAAATAAAAAAATTAGCAAAGTGTAAAAAATTTTATTTTATTTATTTATTTGATAGATTAATTAGATTATAATCATTAGTTAGAAGTAAAAATATCACCCTTCAAACAAATACCAACTAAATAATTAAAGCTACTAAAAAGTACAAACTTGAAAAAAAGACATTTTCTAATCACAACAACAACAACAACAACAACGACAACAGCTAATAAATGAAAATATTTTTTCAATTATTTTATCAACAAACCATAAAACTATTAATTTAATAACCAGAAAAAAATATGAAATTATACTAATCAACACGAGACATCCTAGAATAAGGACACTTCGTCCTAACTTTTTAAGTGCATTCACATCTTCTTTACTAGTCCTGCCATATTCACCCTTTGCGATTTTTAGAGCAACTTCTAAGAGTACGCTAAACAACAAAATGAATTTTATTACTTGCAATCCATCCATAATGCAGTGCAATATCTTCTTCTGTCTTTTTTTTGGTTGATCTTTGCCAAACCATTCGTTATAATTTAAACTAACTAGATTGAATAATATTTTATGAGTGAAAAACAAGCGAGTTATTGCGTGGTGATCTTTGAAAATAGTAAATTGATGACAACTTACAAAAAAAAACACCTAACGAGTCTATGAAGCTAAAACAAGAACAAATATGTTCACTTGTAAAGAAAATAAAGAGGGCTTCTACAAATCGAGGTAAAAGTTCACATCCTAATATGATTCCAAATAGTATGATTCCTTGTTGATGCTTTAGAATGATGTAATATTGACAATAGAAATAAAACGTTGTGGCAGTAATCACGAGAGAAATAGGACACCATACAACCTTTAACTTAGTCAAAAAACCTGCCTTATTATTATTATCACTTTCTTTGGACATTGTAATGTTTTTCCTCAAAAAAAAAAAAGAAGTTATTTGAAATATGAAAATCAAAAAAAAGTTATACCATTCATTTCATTGTGTTGTGTCAACCAAATATGGTTTTATTTTCTCACCAATATTAAATATATATTATACAAAAAACTCAATTTTGGTCAAAAAGGTCCCTAAACAGGGCTGGAAATAAGATCTGGAAAAAAAAAGCGGAAAAATTTTCCCGAATTGCAGATCGTTTATCAAACTGGGGCACGTTTACTAATTAAAATAATTGACCGTGTTTTAAAATGGTTATACAACATATAAATTTTATTTTTCACTAAATTTTATTCATAACGATAGAAAAAAAGCCAAAAAACATGAAAATAAAAAAAAACTGTATTTTATTATACTTGATAAAAAAAAAGCTATGTAAGTAGTCAATATTGAGAAAATTTTTTTTATTAAATTCCACGGAATTTGTAAATATTAATATACAGTGACTTCCATAATTATTGCACCACTTGACTTAAAATTTTCAAATTGTAAAATTTTACAATATAGAAATTATACAATCAATAAATTTATATCAATTAGAAATTTATGGCTTCTTCAATAATATATTTAAATTTGACTGATGGTTTATTTGTTTTTCGAGAAATTTCCATTCAAGTGATTTTTTTATGGTGCAATACTTTTGGCAATCCTAAATGGAAATGATTAGACAATGTTTACATGAGACGTTTATATAAAGTAACTATATAACAAATGTACATTACATTCCTATTTGCTCCGCTTTTCTTTTTATGCTCAACTATGAAAGCAATTACACTTGAACAAAGAGCTTGTATTTACACTCTTACTCAAGAAGGATAATCTAGTAGTGAGATTGCATTTCGCGAAAAAATTAGTCATTCCACTGTTGTAAGAATAAAACAAAGGAAGGAAAAAACAGGAAGTTTTGATGTTATACCAAAATCAGTATGTCCACGCATACTTTCTGAACAACATGATAGGAATATCTGCAGAATTATTAAATCGGGTGAATGTTTTAATGCAATTCAAATTCAAAAAAAATTAATTTCTGATAAAAATGTTATTGTTTCTCCAAATACAATTAGACACTCATTGAAAAGATAAGGTATGGTATCTAGAGTGAAAAGGAAAAAACCATTACTACTAAAATGACATAGAATTGCAAGAAAAAAGTTTGCATGGAAACATCGAAATTGGACTATAGAGGATTTGAGAAAGGTTATCTGGTCAGATGAAAGTAAATTCATGATTTTTGTTCAGATGGAAGGAGTGGTGTTGGAAAGATCCAAAATCACCTTTGCGTCCACAACATGTTAAGCTAACAGTAAAGCTTGGTGTATGCAGTGTTATGATATAGTGTTGTTTTAGCAGTTTTGGTGTTGGAAATTATTGTAAAATTGATGGAAGAATGAATGAGAATTATATCGACTGATATTGGGAGATGAGTTTCTGGGAACTCTCAGCACATATGATTTAAGTAAAAATAATATTAATATTTTAGACTGGCCAGCACAGTCACCTGGTTTAAACCCCATTGAACATTTATGGAATGAAACAGACTGTCATTTGTGACAACTTCCTGGTAATATTAGTAGTCATGAAAATTTGTGGAATATGGAGTCAGATTGATGTTGATTTCTGTTTAAAATTATTTGATACTATGCCACAAAGAATAGCGGATGTTCTCAAGGTTAGCGGAGGATACACAAAGTGGTAACTGTTATGTAGGCAAATTTTGGATAATATTTAGTTATAAATATGCAAAGAAATTTACGCAAGAATTTTATTTTTGTTATATGCCAATAGTATTGCACCACAAAATTTTTATTCATTTGAGGTTTTTTTAAAAAAAATGCAAATTGAACTAAAATAAAGTTTGATTATAATATAGTTAAAATTGATGTATTTTAAATGACCTAAATAGATGTACTAATTATCTGTAGTTAATGAGATATTACTGTTTAATAATTTTAAATCAAGTAGTGCAATAATTATAGAAATCACTGTATATAAATACTGTATATAAATTTTTTTTATTTTCAAAAATAATAGCAACTACTTCTTAACAAACAAAAAAATTTTTATAAATTATTATCTTGTGGTTCGTGAGCCACATCAATACAAAAAAAACCTTCTCAATATTGACTACTTACATAACTTTTTTTTATAAATGCAATTTCTACAAACACAGTCAATTAATTTTTTTAATTAGTAAACGTGCCCCACATTTTCTATTATTATCCCCTCGTGTAACCATTTTTCAGTTTGTACTTATACCCACTAGAAAAATTCAAGCTCAGTTGAATTTTATGATAGACTATTTTTTTATTTATAAAATGCAAATCATTACAGTAATACAAACAAATATTAAAATACAGTTGTTTGAAGTAATGAGTATTTAATAGTAATAGTGAATATTAATAGTAATATTATGACATTTAATAAATTTAAATTTGTGTCCTTTAATTTCATTATAATTGTGATCTTTTAAATGGTAATGTAATATTAGAAATATCATTGAATGCATGACGTGAATCAATACTTTTATTTGAATCAAAAGCATCACTATAAATCAACACTAGTATCACTGGAAATTGCATCTTGATCATTACTCATCAAGTCACATGTATTATCTGTTTCAGTGGTAACTGGATGGGTTTCGCTTGTAACATTTATTGATTTTGAATCATAAATATTAAATTACCATTGTTATTAGAATGTGTAATATTTTTTAAGTAATATTAATGATAATGGTAGAGCAGTGTGATATTCCGCAAAGCAAGATGAAATATACAAATTTTAGAAAAGAATAAATTAATTTGTTATTAACCACCCAACAAATCTTCTTGATAGTGGAAAAAGTTACATGTAAAAATTGCATAAATGGTGGGGGATAATACAAGTTTAAGCTCAATTTTACGAAGTAAAATTGAACTTATACCCGTACTACCCAGGGTTTAACTATTAAAAATCCCCTAGTTTGAGATAAACAATCTGCGAATTAAGGAATTAACAATCAATAAGAATATTTCGTGTAACTGACTGAACCGAAATTAAATTTTCTAAAGTCCAAATAATTTCTCATTTCTAATTGATTAAATTAATTAAAATGAACTGTAATAGGAGAAATTAATAATACAATAATGGGAGGAAAGAGACTCCGGCTGCACATAATTTGAAGGAAAGAAAGTAAAGGGAGTCAATCAAGTTGGATATGGAACTTGATGGAAAAAAATGAAATTGTAAATGATGACAGAGAAAAATCTAAAGGAGCTATTTGTCTCCAAAACTTCTGATATTATTGATCATTGTAATGAAATACAATGACCTCAAATCTTGATCTACTTTTACTTGAAAAGATTGTTTTTTGAAAAAGATATTGATAATTTATGATTAACTATGAATATTTACCGAGTAATCATTCACCGAATAATTAATTATTCACCTAATGATTATCCGTATATTAAATTAATAATAAAAAGAATATGACACAATCTCTATAACTCAACATATAGGAAAATCACCATTTTGATCAATAACAGTGATGAAGCCACCAAAAAAGCATATCGAGTACAAATAGAGATGTGCTGCGCATAGTGTGTTATGCATAAGATTTTACCTATTTTTTATAGACATTTACTTATTAATAAACATTTCTAAAAAAAAATTAAATATGCCATTCACTTTCTTATTATTATATGCGCATTTATGATATTTCCCTCCCTATGATATATATACACTATGCGCACTATGTTATCATGCGCACTATACGCAGTATGCGTGAAAAAATCACGGTTACTATGAATGGCACATCCCTAGGTTAGAGTAATAAAGTACAAACATGTATGATCTTACGTTGGCAGCTAGCTTAATGTAATAATTGATGATACTTTGTCATAATTTACTATTACCTCTCCATAAATAAATACAAGTTTGATGATAAATTTAACACATTAGGTTAGAACAACGAGAGTAAAAAAACAAATATGTAAAAACCTAACTTAACATAATTGATGATAATTGTTTGTTGATTTACTATTACCTCCCATAATATAAGGATTTTTCTCACGAACTAACTTCCTCAATTATAATTTGTCCACATTTGTTTATGTCACCTTCATCGTACGATGACAATTATTACTGTTTTTATACAACGATTGAAGAAAAATCCACATTAGAGTAAAACCATATAAAAAAATACCACTATTTTAGCCCATCCGGTATTTTAATTCTTTAAAAAGAGTTTTCTTTCTTCTTTTCAATATCACTTTACATGTTTCTGAGCGATGTGTTTTAATATATAGTGTAAATGCTTTATATAAAAAAACCAATTTTGGACAAGAATCCAGCGAATCATTTTTTTGTGGTATCACCCATAACCCATACTGATATAAATAAATTTGATATTTACCTTTTGGTCAGTCAGTCTAATTTCGTCACATCTCGTCAAGTATGACAAGTCAAAGGCAGTGCAACTTTTTTTTCTCACGTTTATATTAATAAACATGTCATTATAAGTGTTTAAATGTAATAAATTTATGATTCTTTATTTATTACACGTAATTCTCTTCATTGTAATATTTCGGAAACCATCTAAACGCAATTTACCGATTATTCGTGTGGCCAATTAGCCGCCGATTTTTTACAAAATTTAGATTTTAAAAAATTTATAAAAAAATCATTTTTTCCAAGCCCTTCAATGAGATTTTTTTTTTACAGCGAATAAAGCTGCTCTTCTTCCCGAAAGTCCTAACCTATAAGCATCCATAAATCTGTAATATCTCCTATAATTTTACAAAGTGATACTATACCCGTAATTCTTTAAATGAATAATTACAGTCTTTTCTAGCATAATTTTTAACTGTAACCCCAAAACTTTTGGTATATTTCAATTCACATTGGTATTTGGAATAAAATATTACTTTATGTCTTGCATTTTCTACTACTCCTTCTAATTGTGATTTTTGTACAAGAAATCAGGTTCCAACAATAAAGATTGACCTGCACAACAATCATTAACCCATGTATAATTTACATTTTTTTTATACAATTTTCATACCAATTATTTATTTTAAGAAAATTTTTTAAAATTGATAATCACTTACTTAATGATACACTCTCTGAATAAACTGAATAGATAAATAAATACTAATTCATTCTCTCTAGATTATTTGATAAATTTTCTTTTGTATACATACAGTATATCGGGTTCCTTATAAAGCAAAATCGGGCATAAAAATTTTCTGCAGCACGTGATAAAATAGGTTGATCACTTGACTCAAACAGGTGACTCTTTGACGCATCGAGTCAATTAAAATTGGGAATTGAGTCAAAGCCAAATTAATTGTCAACATGTATACTTTAGATGATCCACAGCAATAAAGCGAGGTTGATTTTGATAAGTGGCACAGCACATGATGTCTTTAGAATGATTCACATCATAATTAAGGTTTCTGGCCCAAATTGTTTTCTCAAAGCCCAAACTAGTTTGGGCAATTTGGACTTCTCAGCATTTTTAATAAACATAAATATTAAAAAGCTATACCAATCAACTTATTTTAACTTAAACAACTTTAAAGTAATTTCGCCCAATTTCAGCTAATAACAAAAAATAGTTTGGGCTTATAAAAAAGTAATTTTTGCCCAAAGTGTCTCGGAAATTTCAGCTACTAATAAAGAGAGTTTCTACCAGAAACCTTAATCATAATAGTAATAGGTAAATTTGTGTTATGTATATACCAAAATAAAAATTAATTTTTAAATACACAGCAAGTCTTGGTACATATAACGGAATTTATCTAGTACAAATTTAGAAACTATCTGCAAAAATATCCAATCAAATTCAATTTTTGCAGATAGTTTCTAAATTTGTACTAGTTAAATATCCGTTATACCGAACTCACTGTGTACCTTCAGCTGACTCACTTGGTCAAGTATCAGGTTTTCAGCAACTTATGCACATTGTAAATATTGTAACTATGAAGTAAATGTTGCTGTTGGTAAATGTGTGTTGCACATTTTAGAATTTTTTCAAGAGTAAGTATAACGCTCTCCAAGGGTATTTTGGTTCAAATTTTCAACCCAATGAAAAGCAACAATTCTCA